TTAGTATTAAATGATGGTGTCATGTTACCAAAGGAGAGCTAAACTAATTCAAGTTAAACAAAACCTCTTAGTTATTTCAGGTCAGTAACAGGAACAATCCTCCAGAAAACCAGGTGAGAATGGTTATCATTCACAGTGCTAGGTAAATAAAATTCCTATCTATCTGAGTTACATAGTCACAGAAGGATGACTTCCAATAAAAGCACAAATTTACAAACAGAAAATTAAAAGCCTTGAAAAAGATAAATGACTCAGGACTCTCTCAATCCTTAAGTTAGGAGTAATTAGGCATTTGTTGAACTAATTAGCATTCATTTATACATTTAGATAGCAAACAAAAGGGCAATGGTTCAAAATAAAGACTGCATAATAAAGGTCTTTTGTCTCCCAAAGAGCTTTAGAAATGAGAAAGTAAATATTTTTAATAAGAGAAATCCATAGCAGACTTTGAAAATAAGAAATAAGTCATAAGCCAAAAAGTTTACACAAGTACTGATATCTAAAAACATGAAAGACTGCATATACAGAAAAACCATTACAGCAACCAAGTATCAGGAAAAACAAAACAAAAATAAAAACACTAGGAAGAAATAAACTCTCCCCAGGAAACCAAGAAGAAAACATTAAATTCTTTTTTAATTACTATGATAAACAGCAAAGAGGGCCCTTCCAATACTCTTCTAAGTCAGAGCCTAAGATTCAGAGCATGTGACTTTCCCCTGACTAAGAAAACAAATACATTACCATGAGGAAATGAAAACGACTTCTTACAAAGTACAGCTTTGTAAGTACAGTGCTGAAGAAATGGCCAGTAGTTAAGGACACACACTGTTCTTGCAGATGACCCATGTCAGATAGCTCACACCTGCCCATAAACCCAGTCCTAGGGAATCTACCACCCTCTTTTCATTCCTTAGGTATCTGCACTCATATATGGACAAATCCACATACATACACGTAATTAAAGATAAAATACATTTTAAAACATTTCTCTTGTATAAAATTCAGATGAACTGTATTAAAGACTGGCTAGTGGTGGTGCACGCTTTTAAGCCCAGTGGGAGACAGAGGCAGGAAGATCTCTGTGAGTTCAAGGCCAGCCCTATTTACAGAATGAGTTCGAGGACAGCCAGAGCTACACAAAGAAACCCTGTCTCGAAAAACCATAAAGGATGGCCACAGCTAACCATCAGCCTGGTGATTTGCAAAACCATCTGAAAGAATTGCAGAATGTTGAAGAAAGTCATGAACAAAAAAATGAGATGAAACACCTAGACACTAAAGGACAGACGCAGAAGCCCATCATCGTTCTAATACAAATCCTAGAAATAGAGCATCAACAGAGAAAAAATAATCAAAGAAAAATTAAGACGTATGAGAGAATAAAAGAGAATCTTCAAGTGTTACAGTTCATCAAGAATCCATGTGAAATAAGTGGTAAGATATCAATAAACAAACAAATTAACTGAAACCCCAAATCAAACAATGACAGGAAATTACAAACCAGGTATCTCCAGGTGTAAAAGTTAGGTTGCCAGTAAGAACTCTGACTGTGAACACAAGGGACGAGGAGGGCAGGCAGTAAGGTTGAGTCTCAGTAGGGACATATATTTCTGTTAAGCTGGGACCACTGTATTTCAAGTAACCAGGAGTCAAAATTAACTAACAATAATTATGAGGGAAACACAAATCTTGTTAGCAGAAAAACAATGAAAATATTCACCATCCACAGATGAATGCTCACTCCAACCATCATTCCAACAGAGTACATTTTAAACACATGACTAAGAGTAATGGGATTTAAGAACAGGACAGGAAAACTTGGATAAAGTAGAGTAGACAGAACAATAAGCAGAAAACCCACTGGACCTGTTGGACACTGCCCTGTGAATGAAATAGTGGGATACAATTATACTTCCTATTCTTTTACTAACCCAACTTGGTTCAAAAATTAATACTTATCAAATCCTGTAACACTGCATTTATAAAGTGTGGCATCTGGGACTCGTTAGAGTAAAGAGAAGCTATGCACACACTTCACGTTTCAGTTTCTCTGGAGTGGTTAATATGTAGAGACTTATTCTTGAAGATGATCATGATTAAGATATTCTAAACTGTTTCCCTACAAGCTATAATCACATTTTGTTTAAAAAAGAAAAAGCTAGATTTATCAAAAAAAAAAAAAGCATCACAAGGAAATCACTCACTTCCCTCTCCTTAGGAAAGGTCTTGCAACATGCCCACTACCAACTAGCCTGCCCTGTGTAGGCCTCTACTAAGCAGTGCAATGGTAAAAATATTCTCAAAGCCCCTCTCTCTTCTTTTTGCAACATTAATACAGTGCCCCATAAAGTTTGAAGGTTTTCTCTTTATGATATACATATATTTACAGATAATCACCATAACAGAAGCAAAGCAGTTTCTAAATTTGTCTCCAGGTACAAGGGACACACATGGAAAGACAAAGACAGCATGCATGCAATGAACCCTATCACACTTTCCATTTCACATCCCAATCACCTATCACCATTCCTTTTCAACTGTCTTCAGAGCTCTTGCTCTGGCTAACTCTGGTCTACACTCTAAGCAGTTGGCAGGATGAATGATAACCTTAAAAAATGCATGTCACATTGTCCTTTCTCCTGTTCAAAATCTTCCATACCCAGAAAGAAATGAGAGGTGACTGTCATGGTCTATAGGCCCTAAGAGACCTAGGCTGAGCTGGTTTCCCTTCAGACACTTCTAGAATTATGCCTACTGCTACCCCACCCCAGCTTGGGACCTCAGTGCTCCTACTGCCTCGAACACTCTTCCTTGAGATGCTTACACAGTCCATGTCCTCATCTGAAAGACTTCCTTCAAATTCTTACATGGTCTATGTCCTCATCCCCTGAAAGACTTCCTTTAAATTCCCATCTGCTCCATGTCCTTATCCCCTAAAAGGCTTTGTCTGGCAACATAAAGGTCTTTCTCCTAGTGTTCTTGTTTCTTATCCTGGTTTACAATTCTTAACGATACTTGGCGATTTTAGAAATGATATACCTTCATGTTTTAAATTGTATAACTGTACTAAAATGCAAAACATAAGCTTCTAGAGATAAGTATCTTTGGTCTATGAGTATATTCCACTGCCTTCAATATCTGCCTTGTAGCAGACAAACAGTGAATGAACAAATGCTGAATATCTAGCTATCAATGTTAGTCAAATCAAGTATAACTGGGAAACAGAAAACAACCTATACTCTGTTGTCACAGACAAGGATTCGCCAATTTTAGAAAAAATTCTTGCGTTCCTTTGAACATGGGCTGAATTACTTGTCATTATGTCATCCTTTGGGAGGATTGTCATTAACTAAGCCCCACAGGCCTGTAATGTCTTTGCTAAAACAAGTCATTCACTCTCAGATTTCTACAAATCAAGCTGATCGAATTCAGATCTGCTTCTATTTTCCAAAAGTCAATGCTTACACTACAGTGATTTGGTGAATATTCACTGTGTATTCTTCAGTGATCACAAACTGTAATTCACTGTAGCTTTTTTAAAAAATGTTTTATTAATTTTTATTATTAAAATGATTTTATTTATTATTTTTTCCTGTGCATTGTTGTGTATCTGTGTGAGGGTGTTGAATCCCCTAGAACTGGAGCCACAAACAGTTGTGAGCTGTCATGTGGATCCTGGCAATTCAACCCAAGGCCTCTGGAAGAGCAGCCAGTCTCTTAACTACTGACTTATCTCTCCAGCTCCCAACATATACACTGCAGCTTCTTAATACCTATTTTCATTCATTCTGCACTTCTTTTAAGTTTGTAAGAATATCTAGAATTCTGCTCACCCAGCTCCCAAATAAATCCATCAAGGCTTCTTCTTACTTTTGAATGCCTGGGCTTAGCTTGGCTTGTTTCTAGTCAGCTTTTCTTAACTTGCATTATCCCACTACCGTTTGCCTCTGGGCTTTTACCTTTCTCTAGTCTATATATGTTTCTTTACTTTTTACTCCATGTCTGGCTGGGTGGCTGGATGGCTGGCCCTGGCATCCTTCTCTCTTTCTCCTCCCTTCTTCTTTTCTCACTCCTTCTCTCTTCTCATCCTTCTTATTCTTTCTGCCTATCCCTCTTCTGATTGGTTATTGGCCTGAAGTTCAGCTAGACTAATCAGGTGTTTTACACAGGAAAAATAACACAGCTTCAAAGAGTTAAACAAATACAACATAAAAGAATGCAATATGTCTTTGCATCAAACAAATATTCCATAGCATAAATGAATATAACACATCTATAAAAATATTTCACATATAGCCCTATATAGAATTTCATGGTGGAGTTTGCAATGGTATGTTTGAGATGGTTAGGTGCAGTGTCAGAGGGGACTAGTTTCAAATTTCAAGCTGAAATACATTCTGCATAAGATCTACTAGGGCAGAGGCTTTGTCTGTTTTACTCAATCTCCTGGCAGAGGGAGATCACTAAATGTTTATTGAATAAATAGTATTACTTAGAAAGGAAAAATAAGATAGGTGTGGTGGCACATGCCTGTAATCTCAATACTTGCTGGAGGATCAAGAAGTTCAAAGTCAACATTGGCTAAATAGTGAGATGCTATCTCAAAAAGCAGAAATCCAAAGAGGCTAGGTGTGGTGGTGCATGTCTATAGTCAGATACTTGGGAGACGGGAGCAAGAGGAGCTAAGCGTTCATGCCAGTCCAGGATTCATGAGACCCTCCTTCAAAACAACAGAATAGACAGTAAGTCACCTAGCAGTCAATCCAAAACTAGGTAGAGTGTAACAGTCATCAAAACCAGAAATAGAAGTCCATGCATAAAAATCATGGGACTAAGAAACTTAAACCAAATGCATAGACTAGACAGACTCATAAATGATGTGAGTTGAACTTGTACTTCTTCTCAACTTCTAGGTGGGAAGCCTAGGACATGCTCTGAGTTGCTTCCAAGTATGACAAACATCGAAAAGTTCTCTAATTACAGCCCCATTAACTTACAGGTGATGAAATCTTCCTTGCTGTTTCTGTGATTACTTGTTCTAGAGGTTTCCACATTTGAAATGCATAGCGACCTAAACAGTAAACAGAGCAAATACTAATATATTTCTCATAATCAATGTCAATCTTTAATCTTAAGGTGCTTATCATATATCACTTATTGATATAAATACTATTTCAAATTTTATCAAAAAGACCTACTATTTTTAAACTTCTAACTTATGAAATAGAGAGACTTTGACTTTAATATTATCATAGCCAACACATGTAACAAGTTCTAGTTCGTGATAATAAAATTAGAAATTTTCAGTGTTTATGTGTATATTTTACACCTATACAAAGTTACAGAATACATTATCACCTTAATACTCTTTCCACAATAAACTCTCTAGAAGAAGATATAATAATAGTCACTTATGATACTAAATGATTAATTATATTGCCATTTATGATGGTAACCACACTGAAATACACAGAAAACAAACACTTCTTAAGACACATGATACAGAGTGCATTTAGTAGAGTAACCTGCAGAGTCAGAAACAACCACATGTGAAGCCATTTCTTAGATTTAACTATCTGTTTACCCACTTTGGGTCTTACTTTCACTAAAATCTTATTTTTATTTTTCCGTTGCTTAAAGATTTAATCCCATTTAGAAATGGCCAGAGTCTAGTGATTTTTCATCCATAAAACTTAATATCACTCCTATCTCCAAGGTGCCTGAAATGAGTTTGGAAATTATCTTCAAGTTGATATTTTATAAACGACAATTACTATTGAAATTGACAGTGTTAAAATGATGATTCAGACTTCCATTTCCACAATCTCAAGAATCATACTGGAGTAAATGTCTCTAATTTGATCATTAAAAAGTAAAAGTTGATTAGGAAATGTAAACCCAAATAACATTATGCTTAGAGAAACAGAAAACAAATAAACAAACAAAAAAACAAAACCTCTGTGACAGGAATTGATAGATGTTAAATCAAAATTGCTAAACTGGTCTTTGCCAGAGATTCCCTATAAATTTATTAAAGATGCATAACTTTAAGAATAGGAGTTTAAGAATATGCTTTAAAATATATCTGAGTTTTTGGAAGAAGTATTAAAATCTAATACTCCTTTGTGTTGACAGAATCTCAAGCAAACCAGATCCTAAAGTCATTCTGTGGGCTTCACACAAGAGTGACATCAGCACACACATTCTGCTCATGCCTTTCTCACTAAGTTTTGCTAGAAAACTGTGTAAGACACCACAAACCCAATCCCAGTGGGAAAGCTTAACACCTAGATCTTTCAGGATAGTTTACCCCTTGATTACGTACATAAAACATCACTTTGAAATCACCTCAAAATTCTGCACAACCACAACCAGGCAGAGCAACCAAATTTCTGCCTTAGTGAAACAAACAAACAAAAACACATAAAGGCTTGAGGAACTGATATCTGAGGATTCATTGAAACATAAACTACATCTAGCTGTCATAAATGGAAGTATAGCAAGCATAGCTTCTCCTAAGTTCTTTTACTCAGTTTTATTTGGTTCTGGGCAAGTTCTACTATTCTAATTTGTAACATGAATTTTTTTCTATATAAAATATACATGGATATTTTTGTCATTGTCTAAAAGAAAAGCAGATAAAATACATTTTTCTAGATTAAAATGAAAAACAATTGAATTTATAATTATGTGTATCCTATAATAGTACTAAAATTGGTTTATGTTTTTTATGTCAGAATTTCTTTAAAAACATTATCTTTTTCTCATGAAAGCTCAGAAGAAGTTAATTATAGTTATGAAATTGGTGCAAAGCCTGCTGGCAAAAAAAGATCTAAAGGGTGTGAATCATAGGTCTTGTTGATTTTTAAATTTTGATTGTTTTCAATGAGAACTGTGTAAAATTAAATACTGTATAGAACCAAATAAAACTGTCATTTTCTATTAGAACTTAAAAATATGACACCACAACAGAATGCAGCTTTATCAAAAGAAAAATGCAATTAGTATAATCAAACATACAGAATTCAGAAACAAAATTTTAATAACATAGTATAATATTTAATTTTAATTGTCAACTTGACACAGTCTAAAATAGAGTTTTAATAAAGGACCATCTTAGATCAGGTTAGCCTACAGTTACGTCTATTGGGAAACTGTCTTCATTATGTTAACTGATGTGAGAAGACTGCCCACTATGGGAAGCACCATTTCCTAGGCAGAGTCCTGAACTGAGTGGAGAAAGACTGTTGAGGACAAGCATGAGTGCATTAATTCTCTTTCTGTTTTGACTAAGGATGTGAACACCTGATTTAAGATCCTGGCATCTTGATTTCCCTGCTATGGTAATTGCAACTTGAAATCTGGACTACAACAAGCCCTCTCTTCTCTAAGTTGTTTATCAAGGCAACAACAAATGAAACTAACACAAGGAAATATTCTCAGATTAACATTTAGTATGGGAATAGCTATGTAATTTAAAGTTGTAAACTCTCCTGAGTTTACAAACAAAGAAATAAACAAACAAAATCTATATTTTATGGTAGAAGATAACTAAGTAGTCAAGGACTAGCTATGTCCATCAGAAGGAAATGGTGGCTGAAATGTATAAATCCACACAAATAAAACAGCATAAAAGAACCTCCATTGGACTGATGATCAAAGGGATTAAGACTGGGCTGGTTGAACCCCCAGAAACAGCTGACCAGACAAAGGTTAACTCTTGAATCCCAGGCATCAGCCTGGGAATCCAGCATGGGACTGATCAAGACCCCCTGAATCTGGGTGTCAATGAGGAGGCCTAGGTAATCTATTGAGCCTTGGACAGCAGATCAGTACCCATCCCAAGTATACACACGGTCTCTGGACTCCCATAGAACAATGTGAGGTGCACTCTCACCCTGAACTCTTGGGGAAGGGTCTAGGCCCTGCCCTATATGAAATGACAGACTATGGACACCCCATGGAGGGCCTCACCCTCCCTGGGGGAATGAGGGGATAACGGGGGGGGGATGGGGGGAGGGCACGGGAGGAGGGGAGGGAAAGGGAGAGGGACCTCGTACTGACTTGTGAAGCAACCTTGTTTCTTATCTAAATTTAAAATGGAAAATAAAAAAAATATTAATAAAAAAAAAGAACCTCCATTATTTGTATTGTATTGTACTGTACTGTACTGTACTGTACTGTATTGTATTGTATTGTATTGTATTGTATTGAAGATTTTAGGATCAGAGATGGCTAGGGGGTAAGAGTACTTGTTCAAGACTGAAAACCTGAATTCCATCCTGGTAACCTCTGTGGTAGAGAGAACTGATTCCCTAAAGTTGTCATCTGCACATTCCTGCCCAGACTCACACACCATAGAGTACACAAACACATGATCAGCTAATAGCAATAAATTAAACACAAGGCTTGTTCTTGTCTTTTTAAGGTTTACTTTTTTATTTATTTAGGTGTATGCATGTGTATTTGTGGGCAGGTGTCTGTAAAAGCCGAAAGGCGTTGGCTCATCTGGAGGTGGCATTTGAGGCAGCTGTGAACTGCCTGATATGGGTGCTTTCTGGAAGAAAAGCAATAGCTCTAAACTGAGCCATCTTTCCAGCAGGCTTTCTTATTATTTACTGTCTACCACAGTGGGCATGACACGGTCAGAGGGTAACCTAGGACACTGGGCCTCAGTTTTGACCTAGTTTGAGACAGAATCTTTTTGCTGTTAACCGTTGTCTATGCCAAGCTAGCTGCCCAGGAGTTTCTAGGGACCCTCTTGCCTCAGCCTTCCACTGTGCACTGGGATTACATGGGCCACTGCGTCACACCTGTGCATGTGTTTGGGGCGTCTGAACTTGGATTTTCAGACTTGCTTATCAAGTGCTTTAGCCACTGAGCCATTTCATCAGCCCATTCTACACGTTTCTTGTTGCTGTACACTGTAAAAAACTGGAAAAGAACATGCCAGGAATATCAACCATTATGCAGCTAGCTATCTTAGCTCACTGACCAATATGTTTTTGTTTTACTATAACGCTTACGACATTTTGCTTGACTGATTGCTGCTAAGTAACTACAATTGGTGGGATGTATTATGTCTGAAAAGCAAACAACGTACCTGCAAATGCAACAGCTGCAACACCTAGTCCTACAGCTATCAGCCTTCTTCCCTGCAGAGGGAAAACATCAGTTATAGTTGTGCACATGAGTCTATGAAAGTAAACCACCTTAGTAACAATGATAATTGCATTAGATACATTTCCTCCAAGTGCTATTATGAAGAATACAACTTAGAAATCTGCACTGTCTATGGGATTATATGCTGCTTGCTTTATTGGCTAATTTTCTTTCTTATCATCCCCCCCCCTTTGGTTTTCCAAGACAAAGTTTCTCTATGTGTAGTTCTGGCTGTCCTGGAACTTGCTCTGTAGGCTGGCCTCAGACTCACAGAGTGCTGTAGGCAGGGACTGGTATAAGAAACAAACATGCACAGAATATACAGAGAAAAGGAATAAAGAATTAAGTTAGGTCAGGTGTCATACACATGTTCCAACCTTTGGACATCGTGACATGATAGTGTTAGTAAAGTTCACATTCAAGTACCATGTAATCAAGTTATAAAACAACAACAAAAAACTCAAAACCTTATAATTTAGCAAGTTTATAATTTTTTGGGGGGCTAACCTACACATATCCTATAGGCTGGGCACCCCATGGAGGGCCTTGCAGGGAACATCGGGACTTCAGCTTTCTTGTGAATGATAAGACATCACTGTTTCCAACAGAGTTCTGATATTATCATAGAATTCTAAGGATCTCTATTTGTCATGTTGAAAAAAAACCAAAATTATACAGGGTCAAAAACAGAGGCATACAAATGAATCAGAAGCATATTAAAATAAATCCAAGAAAAATAATGGGTGATTAGTGATGAAAATGTTAAGCTTCTAGATTTCTATATTTTGAAGATAAAAAGATTTTCTGGTATTGTATGTGGTCTATGAAAGAAAAATCTAGAATGTCAAAGTTGCTGTCTGGAACGACTACAAAAAATGAAATTGCCTTTTGCTGAAGGGCCAGATTAAAAGCTTTCAAGTAGGAAATCTGATGAGCTCTCTTTGGGCTTCCTTTAAAAAAAACATGATGAATAAGATAAATTGTACAGGAATGCATTAACACTTGGTTGAAGGGAGGGAAAAGAAGAATGAGCAGGATCAAGCACAAACATTCTTTGTTATCTGCCAGGGACTCAATTCTCAAGGGTTAATCGCAAGCAAATCACTTTTGCTGAACTCAGTGTTTTATACTGTTTTATTATTTGGTTCAATTTCCACAAAGAAAGCTTTCTGAATTCAAACACCACCAAGTAAAAGGGAAAATATGGAAAGGAAATAACAACGGCTACTGACACATCAGCAGGATTTGGGGAGAGATATTATAGGAGTGCTCCCAAGGAAGGAAGGAAGGAAGGAGGGAGAGAGGGTCCTGTGCTGAGTGTAACTCAGAGGTAGGAAGCATGGTAGCCTGTGGGAGGCCTTGGGATCCATTCCTACCATCTCAAAAATAAAATGGAGGGGGAGTGTTTATAGTCACACAAAACGTCAGACCTTAAAATGACATTTGGGAGAACTTTTACAATTACCTTACCTGAAATATCCAAGCTGCATGAGTTTCAAGTCTAAACTGGTCAATCCACATTAACATACTCAGCCATCAGCAATGTTGTTTCATTGCCACAACACATGCTCATGAGCCATGCTCACAAGTGTGTGTGCAAGTGCGCGCGCGCGCGCGCGCACACACACACACACACACACACACGAATGTCTCAAAGAGAGACAATGCTAGGGCATAGTTCTATTTGCTACTTGCTCCGCTTTTAAGCCACTTAATTTCTTTTAAATCAAAGGCAAGCATTAAATTCTACAATAATATTAATGAGTAAATTAGGGAGGGGGAAAAACAATGTAACAAAATCAAAAGCCAAACACAGGAAAGAGCTCTTAGGCTCAACCCAAGTGAGTTGTATTCCACTCCTCAACATAATGAATGAAATTTGCCAAAACTCAAAGCTCCTTAACATAGTGATTTCTTGGGAATAATCTTTTAAATACTACTTTGGCTTTATTCAAAATAATGTTGTGAGTCTTGCCTGCACTTTCTCCTAGTAACATAAAAAGCTCTTTGCTCACATTAAACTGTAACGTGAATAAATGTATGGAGTGGAAAATCTTGCTCTAGTAACAAACCAGTCCTGGGAGCATTGGAGACAGAGCTGCAAGGGGTGTGCCAACCAAGCTGCAATCTGCTTCAGGTCCATTCTTAACCCAAATAAACAGTGATGGCACAGTTCATGTGTTGACTTGGCTAGATTATACCAGTGGGTTAGCCTTGGAGCTGCTGTAGAGGTATTTTGTAGATTTGGTCAACGCTTACTGTCAGTTAAAGACTATCTACGAAGGCCTCAACCAATCAACTTAAACAAAGTTTAAGGTTTCCCTGAGGAAGAATCAGGTCTGAGGTAGTAAGGCAGAGCTGGAGGCAACTCCCGGCTGTAGGTACTTGCCTACTACTGAGTTTTCACATAGGTCTTTGGTTCAACCCCTGAGAGAACATAAAAACAAACAACAAATAAAAATTGAATTCCTGCATTAAAGTTTTCTGCCTGGGTCCTGACCTATAAATTTTAGACTGGCCAGCCACTAAATACATACCAATTCCTTGAAATAAATAAGTAAATGCACATATTACTTTGTTCTGTTTCTCCAAAGAACCTAACTAATACAGACTTCCAGAGTTCAAGCCCTGAGTCTCACTCATGCTAGGCAGAATTCTACACCAACCTATGTCCTCTTTTAGGGTTACTCTTGATTAATTTATTGGGCACAAATTGATATATAAACATTTAATCTTATTGCATACCTGGTACACTGCTAGGCCTGGAGATACAGATGAATAAAATGATCTCTTAAATGTTATAAACACCCCCAAAACAAAAGATGTCTTCTAAAACACACTAGTTTTCCTTTACTCTTATACCCTACAAAGGTGCCTACTTCTCTGTAGAGCTTCCTAGATCTTTGAGCCAGGAATGTTTCTTAGGAGAATAAAGGAAGGGTACTACTAACTGTTAACAGGTCTCAAAAGTCTATGTATCTGACACTTCCAATTCTTAGATTATGACACAGAGTAGATAAAAGTTGTTCTAGATCATTTCTAAGAACACAAGGTTGTAATCCATCCTCTTTTTGTTATCCCCTGTCATTGCATATAGTGCAAGCTCAATAATTAAGCATAGAACATAATATTTTTCTAATATTAAAGCTTTCAATTTCTTTAACTTGTTGGCAGGAAGTAGTTAAGCTGAAGAGCTTAAAAAAAGATTTTGCAACAAGAAAAATAAAACCCAGAGACAGATACTGTGGCTCAAGATGAAGATGAGAAAAGCAAAGGGGACAAGCCACTTGAGAGTTCTCACCTCCACCAATGCTCAGACCAAAGGGGCGATCCACTGAACCTCAGATTGCATCTCCAGACTTCACTGCTCCTCACCAAATCTCAGACTGCTGCCTGAGCCTGCACTGAACTCCTTATATTCTCTCTAGTGCTAGGATTAAAGGTGTGAGCTCTGTTTCTCTTTTAGACTGACTCACTCTCATATAGCCTAGCGTGGACTTGAACTCAGAGATTCATTTGTCTCTCTCTGTCTCCTGAGTCCCGGGGTTAAAGGTGTGTGCCCCACTGCCCCATTTCTATGGCTGTAGCTAGCTTTTCATTCTCATCTCTAGGCACGCTTTATTAGATCATAAACAATATATCACAAGATTTCTTATACATATCCCTTGTGATGTGTGCATAGGGTCACAACACGGTCTGGGGTTGGGGGAGTCTTCCTCCCTTCCTCTAAATCTGCAGGTTTTTAATGAGAGATGAGAGCCCCCATCACACTGAGCAGGATAAAATGACAAGGAAAACAAAGGGGCATAAAGGAAGAGAAGACCCCTAGATCCCTCTCCCACACTGCAACTGGTTTATGTCTATCTCTGACATAAACCTTAAGGATTCTGACCAGCTGACCAAACCGCCCTAAGAACTGCACCCAGAGCCCATGAACAGTCCCCAGAAACAGTTCTCCTTTTTCTGGGGATGTTACAGGCAACCTTACTCAGAATACTAAGAAGCCATTCTTTGGTTCACAAAATATGTTTTGACCTCCTTGTATGACATAAGAATAATTGCTATTCCTCAGATTTTTAAAATTCATGTTCTTTTTAAATTTTGATAGCACATTATAAATGTCCCTCATCAATAATCTTACTATGTCATTAGTGAGGAATTTCCTTTTAGTTAGAAACTGCATTGCATTGGCATGTTCCTATTTAGTCTTTAACTGTGGATTACCTTTTGAACAAATACAACTTCAAACCTCCAAAATTACATACAAAACTGCTCTGATGTCCATGTTATGTGTACCTCAACTTTGCTTCATACTGACTTCTTCTGAAATCTTTCTGGCAGCACAAGCGAAACCCCCGCTGCATCTGAATGGAGGCCTCCTCTGGCCACACTGCCAGCAATGCTGAGGTCACTTCTCTATTAAATAAGAGAAACACAAAACTATCACTTAGTAATGGAAGGTCCAGAACTGTCATGTGTAACCATGTTGTTTCTTTTCCCTTTCTCTGAGCGCCACTGAGATCCTAGGAATAGCAGGCCTGACTAACACTGAAGGCAAAGGACTGAGACACGCCATCAACAGCAGACTTGGGCTGGAACTTTCCATGGCCCATCCTGGAGTAACAGCCTAAGATAATGATCACATAGACCAGACCAAACAGTGACAGCCCGGAAGACCCCAATCCTTGCCCTTCTCTTACCACACAACCCTGAGACTGTTGTACACAATCTGAAGACCAAGGACTGCAGCTCCTAATGGGACACCAAAGAAAGCTCCTTTCTGCTTTCACAACTACTGGTGTCTGATTACCTTTACAGGGTGGGTGACTGAGTCTGGGTACTTTGTCTATCTCTGGTATTAGTAGCAGGATAAGTAAGCATCAAACATTAAAGAAGTCAATGCCACTCTGAAACTCTTCCCTATTCACGGAGCTTCAGCTTTGTAATTCCTCTTCTCTGTTAACTCTCCGTTATGATAACAGACAACATTGTA